ACCCAAGCATATACCACCCTCCATCCTAGTGATGCCTTTATTTCATTTAATGCCTTCACTGTGATTAATCACACAATACAAAACTTAGTCCTGATACATATATGAGTCTTACAAACTGTCCAGGACACATACTCATATAACACAGCTCCATAATTTCTCAACTTTCAATTCAAATGCATTAACCCACTACTTTAGATACTCTCAGTTCCAGTAATGAAACTGAAAAATAAATGCAGGACAAAAATTTAGTCCACATCAGTTGCCAACTCTTTTAGTATTTTTTTCCCCTCTCTTGCCAGAAAAAAGCACAAGACCAACAGAACAATGTGTTACAACCAAACCTAGTAAGTCATGCTTCCACAGTTGAGTTTTATAAATACTGTGTTAAAATTATACTAATAAACTATAAATGTACACCAACACATCTCAATCCAAACGATTCAATCACATTATATGAATTAGTAAAAATGCAGATTATCAATATTCAACATTTACCTTGAAACAAATCCAATTCCAATAATACAATTAAAATTGATTTGGATCAGCTTAATTTTCACAGAAATAATGCAGGGTAGTGAATATCATGCAATCGTCAAATGGGTGAATGAAATCTATAAAAGGAAAAAATCAGGAAGTTTAATGTCTAGCAGTAGATTAAAGCCATTAGTGGCATCAAAGTACATGAAACTAACTAAACAATAATTTACTCCACTGAAATAAAGTTTTTCTATACTAGATACGTTAATGCTCGTCAAGTTTAGCACCGCCATCTTAAAATTTTACTACAAGTCAGTAATAAATGTCGATCCAAACAATAAAATCAAAGAAAAGAATGAGCAAAAAGCAGATTAGTGGACTCATGATCACCAATTACCTTGAAATGAATCTAATTTAAATAGCATAAAAATATTGAGTCAGATCAGCTCCTTTTTTTTTTTTCATTTTTTTTTTTTAAGAATGCAGGCAGTTAATACAACAGAATCGTAGAAAGAATGAGAGAAATTGATAGGATGAAGAAATCAGGAAATTTACCGTCTCGTTTGAGAGTCTTGCAATTAACGGCGACAATTAGGAGGCAGGGAAGTAAGATGAAAAGACAAGGTTGCCGGAGATAAGTCGCCATTTGGTTGATTATTTCCCTTCTGGTGGACAGGCTTACGGAGAGAGAGAGAGGCGTGGGCGGAATCTGAGACTTATGGGAGTACGACGTCGTGTGAAAGGGCCTTTTCTCGTCGGTGGTTTATCGTCTCTATTCTAGCATATTTTTATGTAATTATTTTTTCCCCTTTCGAATTATTGTCATTAGCATTGCCTTTACTATAAAAGAGTGAACGTTGGATTTACTATTCATTTTTTTCAGGGACAGATCTAACCTTGAGTTTGGACACGGACTATAATACAAATTTACATTAATTTATCTCTTAAAAAAATAAGAAAAAAGTGATATTTTCAGCTGCAGGCACGGGCTATAGCACTATCGAGCCCGTGCCTGGATCCGCTAATGATTTTTCTGTCCTCCTATTCACAATGAAATGGGTTCATGTATTGTTCATTATATGGCTCTTTAATAGGATATAAATATTTTTTTTGAGTGAAAACGACTGTCGTATGATTATTTCAAGAGTACGTAATTCTTAAAAAATAACCCAGTGTTATGTCAAGTGTGAAACATTGAAATTTTTTATTGTCAAAAATACCTTCTGTTTTTAAAACTAATTTTCGTAAATAACCTTTCTATTCGTTCGCTCATAAATTACTTGCAACTTTTTTCTTTGAATGGTAAATTGGGAATAAGATTTCTTGAGCCTGCAAATGCGAGCAAAAATCGATTAAATTCCAACACTTTTGTCAATGTGGGCCCCACCGCTGAAGCATATGAACATGACCAAAAAATGCATTTTAATGAGATTCAAACGGGTGCTAAATGCCATTTTGCTCTCTCTTTCTTCACATTCACCCTATCTCAGTTTGTCTTAATTTTCTCCAAGTTGCTTTCTAGACAAACCAAACCACAAGGAGGACAAGAAAAGTAAAATTCAAACAAATTATTGAAATTGATAAGCATCTAATTTGTTGTATGATGTTGTTTCGGTTGTGTAATTAGGTATATTGAGATTTGGAGGGTTTATCGTTGTCATTTATTTGTTTTGATGCAATTTGTTAACTCGGCCGAAAGTGATTAATTATTGTTAGTATTTTTCTGTGTGTTTTCTTCTTATAGTTTTAATTTTTGTAGTTAATAAAATTTTTGTAGTGTTGTGAATAATTTTTATTATGATTTTCCTTTATTTGTTATAATTTTTATCAATCCATATGACATTATTGGTTCCATTAATATTGTATTTGTTTTTATTTTTTGTTCCATATTGTAAGATATCATTCTCAAAGTAAAAATATAAAAATTTTAAATATCATTTGAACTGTGTTATCTTTTAGTATGATATTTGTTTTTTCTTTTCCTTTTTTAGATTTTCTTGAGTTCTGTTATTTAGTTTATAGTTTGTTTAGTGTTTTTTCCTCAAGTTTTTATTATAGTATTTATTATTTAACTACTATTAGCAAATTGCAAAATCTAATTTGTATTTATTATTCTTACGTGTATAGTGTTAGATTTTATTTCCTGTGGTTCTAATTGACAGCTACAGTAGTGCACATTATCTTGGGTAAGTTCTTCCAATTGAGTTATCGAGGTTTTTGTTCGTATGTTAATGTAGCATGTTTATTTTTGGTTATTTGTTTAAAGTAACTTGTAAAATTTGTAATCGTTGATGGTTCTTGAGCTTTCTTTGTGCATTTTATGAATGTACTTTTTTTTTCCTTTCAAAATATGTCTTTAGTCATTGTTACATATTGTGAATTTTAGCTTCATTGTATATATGTTTTAACATATGTAGGATTATTTCTTT